TATATATATATATATATATATATATATATATACGCGAAAACTACAGCATCGAACAAAAAAAAATCTGCGAAATTTGTCAAAGGAAAAACTAATTACACAGATTGCCATTTTCATGCCGTCATTAGCGGATACACGCTCACACGGACACACACACACATACAAAAAAAAATCTACCACATTCTTTGAATGCTTATTTTAAAAAAGCAAACAAAAAGTAAACGCTTAACAGTTTTTTTTTTTTTTTTTTTGTCAACTCAATAAACAATTTTGTCTAAAAGAAAAAAAAGGAAAGATGAAAGAGTAAAAAAAAAAACCATAGACAAACAATCCATATCAATGCACCGATTAACAATGATACCAAAATCATAACTGTGTCTGCCTTGTCTCTTGCCTTCTAGCAATTTATTTTTCCCCGCATAAAAACTACCTAACTTGGTGTACCCTAAGGAAGCACAGTGTCACTGATATATGGTCACTGAAATTGCTCATTCCACTGAAGCCAACCGTAACAGCAAACAATAATGGTAGCTAATACGTTGACGACATTGGTTGGTTGGTACCCTAAGGCACCCATACACACGCAAAAACAAACGAACAAACATTCACACACACACACACACACACACACACACACACACACACACTCACACACACACACACACACACACACACACACACACACAAACTCACATACATACACAGATAAAGACACACGCAGTCATACAAAGACAAACACAACTACTGTCTGCTATGATCAGATCAAAGCAATGCTTAGCACACTCTCACCGCATCACCCCTGCTGTTAAACTTTAAGCAAAAACGCATTTTTTCCTCCTTGCGCCTCCGCATCGCATCACCCAAATTTTTGCGGCTTTTCTATCCCCTATTCTCCCCCTTAAACAACATGTTTCTAATCCAATCAACTTTTACTCTCTTCATTTTTAATTTCTTATCTTTCACCAAAACATCCGTAAAAAAAAAAAAAACAAATGTTTTTTTTTTCCAGCGATATTTTCAAGTAAAAATTTCTTTTTTTTACAAGCATTATTTATCGTTGTTCATCACTCACTAAGGGCAACCAAACCACGAATGGTATAAAACTGTGCTAGTGTATAGAACAGACTGACGTATAGACGGTCAGCGCTACATGCAATACACGTACCTACAAAGCGCATACACATAACAGAACAGAGTGCAACGTAGAGGTGGGCAGCAGATAAAATTGAGCACAGGCCTGCCCAAGCAGTACCTACCATAATCGCCTTTAGCATTTCTGGTACGAATTACGTTGCCTGCTATTGAGTTTTTGCCTGCTAGGCGATTTGATTTTCATTGCGCTTCAGCGTATGTGCTTGCCGAATACGGTAAACGGTCAAAAAACAACCGTATACGGCGGACAGATCGCAAAACGCACCCGTATACGGCCAATTTATGTTATGACTTTAAACCTTCTCAGCTTCATCTGTCTTATCCAACTGGATGTCTAAATAGGCATCACTTTTGTAAACTCATTTGCTAATAGCCAATCACTTGATCAGGTTAAAGTGTTCTAAGACACAAACTAAAAAAAAAAGTCGGTTTACTTCCAACGAAATAATTGGCATGTTTATGTCTCTTTTCTTTTTAACAAAAATCCGCAAATTGTTCCAGGGAAAGAAGATGATGGAGAACAACCTTGAATGAGCAACTATTTGAAAAAAAAAACATTTCTTCAATTGCTAGATCTTTATGAATAGTATTGAATGGAGAAGAAATAAGAAGCGAATAGGGAAGAAGGTATAGGTAAAAAAAATGTTTTTTTTTGAACCAAATAATTATGTCAAAATGTGGTTGAAAAAGTTGAGAAACAAAAGCAAAAACTATTGTTTTAGCTGCTAAATCAAAAAAAGAAGTTTTTGAAGAATGGAAAATAAAAAATAAAAAATAAGTTGAAAAAAAAGAAAACGAAAAAAGCTTTTTGAGTGTATTATAAAGTATAAATCAGTGTGAAACAGCTGTTCCCATAGATGAAGATGGCTTTAGTGGATGAATGAATGACTGAGTGACTGAATGAAGTTGTTATTTTTTTCCTTCCTCTTCTTCTTTTTCTTCAGAAAAATGCCAGATTGGCATGAGCAATAGATGAAACACGGAGCAGCTTTTTCAATCATCATTTATAACATGCAAAAGTTTCTTGCTAACTGCTTACAGTTTCATCATCGGAAGCGGCATTATGATCAAGTCAACAACAGCCGCTGCCACAGAAGCAGCAGTAACGATTGCACTAACGGCAGCAGAACCAGCAGCCGTAGCTGCAGCAGCAGCAGCAGCAACAGCTACAGCAGCAAAATGCACCACCGCACAGGTCACATATGGTCGCCAGTTATAGCACAAAACCATTTGTTCTTCTTGCGGCTCTCTGGTCGACCGATAAAAAAAACGAAACGAAACGAAGGAAAGGGGGGAAAAACTTTGTATTAAAAGCTTCATGAAGTGCAAAAAAAAAGTTCTTTTTTTTTCTTAACCCAACATTGCAATGTCTTATGTTCACATTTTTATCCATTTTTTTGTTAACTTATGTTTTTTTTTTTCCAGCAACAAAATGAAAATATATCTTATTTGAAATGACTAAAAAAAAAACAAAATTTCTTTTACGCACACTCACACACACAAATACGTATCATACCGTAAATAACTGCAGTGATATAATAGTGAAAAAAATGTGTTAGTAAACGAGAAAAATATTAGACTGAATGAAAAACCGAATCTGAAGAGAGAAAAAAAAAACCTATCTGCAATTTATTATTATTAATATTTTGCATTATTATTATTTATTGGCGCCGTCACTGCTATTGTTCTATCATTGCTGTTACTATTATTTCAACTGTTAACGTATTATAACTGCTACTATTACTATTATTACTACTACCACCATTATTACCAGCAATATCATTAGTCTTAGCTTTGAGAAAAATAGCAAAGCCACCTTTCAACAACGAAATTACACAGCTATGTCAGAAGCAAAGAAGAAGTTGATCTGAAAAATTTATGATTTCATCACCCAAATGACGTTGTGGTCCAATGACAAAAAGGAGATGGGAATAAGAAATGAAAATGGACTAGCATAAATGCAGATATATCATTTCTAGACTGCAGATAAGGTTGAAAAAACAAGTGATTCGAAAAGAAAAAAAACAGAACCAGTTTTGCATGGAATGAACAAAAAAATAAATAG